GTGAGCAACTTCTGGCTTCCTGTAGCTGAAGTCAGAAAGTGGACTCAGGGTTCCACAGTCGCTTTCTGCTGCCACCAGCCTGCCTTTTGACCTCTGTAATCCTTTGGGCCTGGAAGCTGGCCCCAGCCACTCCTCTCCATTCTGAAGCCTCCTCCGCTTTGGGCTCTGGCTGTCTTTGGGGGTCCTGGTAAAGGAGTCAGATCTCAAGGTTTCCTGTAGCGGGTCTCCCGGGAGCGCTGCCCCTCACTCCTGCTGGGTCGCGGTCTCCATCTGGCCTTCGCTTTTGAAGTCTGTTCGCCCTGGCAGACTCTGGCGTGCTCGCTCAGCACTTGCTGGTCTGTGTGGGAAGGTCAGCCACCACTTGAATTATTGCTGTTTGAGACGCTGCCTTTCCTTTTCTCCCGCGGCCCCTCACGTTTTCCGGTAGTTTTCGGTGGTTTGTGTGTGATGTGTCTGAGATTGGGTTTCCTTGGACTTCCTCGGCTGTGGATCCGCTGGCCCTTTTTAAGTTTGTGGGGTGATGCTTTTCACTGCTATTGGGACATTTCGGTACCAGTGGTCCTTCAAACGCTTGCTCCCTCCATGTGTGTCTTCTCCTTGTGCAGATCCAGTTGCGGGTGGGCCGCACAGCTGACTCACATGGATGCAGCTCCTCTTTCAGCTGCTATGCACTTTGGCCTTTTTCTCTTTCTGGGTAGCGTGTGGACATTTTCCGTAGGCCTGATCACGTTTGTTGTTTCCTCTTGCCGAGTCCAGTTGGCTGTTAATGGCGTCCAGGTGAATTTTTAAATTTCAAATATTTTGCTTTTCTTGGTTTAGGAATATCCATTTGATTCTTCTGATAGGTTCCAGTTCTGTGGGGAGGAGGGCCTGTGAGGAAGGCGGGAGACTCCTGTGGTGGTTGATGCTGGGGGCGTGAAGTGGAGCAGGGAGCCGGCTTCTCGCTGACTGGCTGTGGGTCTCTTCACTTTCAGGTCCAAGCTTCTGCCCTATATGATGCTCCCCTTGTTCCTGCTCCTCTTTGTGGGGCTCCCACTTGTGGAATCCAATTTTACCAACGTGACCAAAGCCGTTCCAGCTGCTTGTAAGTATCATCTTTTCTGAGACATGGAGGGCATATGGATTCTCCTAGAGTTGCCCGGGGTCCCAGGAGGACGTGGCAGGAATTTGGCCATCTGAGCCAGCTGTGGTGTGCATTGTCAGTGTTGTTGGGAAGAATTGAGGGTCAATTGGGCTGTGTTTGTGTGCAGGGGAGAGAAAGGAGGAAGGATGGCTTCCCTCAAAGAGCAGCTGACCAGGAGACCTGAAGGGGAGCTTGGAGGTGACCCTTGCCCATTAGGGACAGCAAGAGAGGACAGCAGTGTCCAAGGAAATCCAGGAACATGCTGGCTTCTTAGGGGAGCGTCCAGACTTCCTTGGAGAGGTGGGCCCCTCTGCAGAGCTCATGGTCCCCGCATGTCTTCCTGAGAAGAGGGAAAGCTCCTAGGTTGGCCTGGCTTCCCTCCTGGGAGCAGTCTTGGCCAGACTGGGACCGCACTGAGACCAAGCTGTGCAGGCTCAGGCAAGTCTTTGGGAGAGAGGGCAGGGCCAGCTACTGCATGGGGAAGACGAGATGGTAATGGGTGGAAGGATACGTTGGGGCAGAAGCCCAATGCCTGCTTTCCCTCCCTCAGGGACCTTCAACGTGCAGTGCCATGAATGTGTGGCTGAAAACACGTTTGATTGCCCGAGGCTCAGGACGTGCTTATACGACCATAGACGCTGTATGACCGTAGCTGCACGTAAGTGTCCCTGTGCTCTTTTCACACCTGTGGTCCATCGTCTAGCTTGAGCGGTTTTGGGAGTGGAGTCTGTATGGTTTTCTTTCTGCACCCTGACCTACTTCCTTCTCCTGGTATCTCCCCGCCCTGAGGACTTATTCCCAGGTCCTGCCATGCCTCACGTAGGGCACTGTGCACCAGCTTGTGCAGTCAGCTGAGGGGAGGGGGAGCAGAGTCCACACCTGCCGTGTCTTCAACGGTAGGAATGTTGCTGGACCTACAGGTCTCTCGCTTGGGTCTCCCTGCTCATGTATGTAGATACCTCAGTGTAGCCTGGTTGATCGTCATTTGAATTCTGGTCATGTGCCGGGTGTGGGGTGGGGCGGGGGGGGGTTGTCCAGCTGTCCAAGTCCGAGCAGCAGATGTGCTTCGACCCCTCAGGGCCACACTGGTAACACTGTCACACACAGATGGTGTCAGGGCAAAGCTGGCCCCCCAAAGTGTTCTTGCTTCTTCCTTGCAGGCCTCTAGTGCTGTGAGGCAGGTGTGCGTCTCCCCAGGGCGTTACTGTGAAGACCCATGTGGCCAGAGGCTCAGGGACCCAGAGGCAGGCAGTTTGTGGGATTGTGACAGACAGCTGGAGGTCTTGTCTGGGCCCTGTTCAGGACCCTTCCTCTGGTTGCTGTCTTCCCCGACCTGAGTTTGTTTCTGCAGCTTCAGGTGCCTTTCTGTTTCCCGAGCTGGGTGTAAAGACCTCCAGACTGCCCCTTCTTCACTGGACCAAGTGCCCTCACGCTGTGGTGATGTGCTGAGTTGGGACAGCAGGAGGCTGAGAATCTGGCTTTGTCACCGTGGTGGGCCACTGGTGGGGACCTTGATGGGTTATGTGTTGTCATTTCTCAACTATTGTTGCAAGTGAGACTGGCTGATGCTTTCTGAGGATCTGCATCCCGGTGTGGCTGCATTAGAGCTGGCAAAGGGAGAAACCTGAATGACATTTGTAAGGGTGGAGTGAAGCAGGGACCAGTAGTCTGCGCAGGCATGGTGGCCTTCTACAGCGCTTGACCTGGTTTGAGTCAACTTCCTGTCATTGTAGCCTATACCTCACATAATCATAAGGACGCAGGTTTGTTTGGGCTCACAGGTTTATAGGTTTCAGTCCATGACTGGTTGAGCCTGGGGCTGAGCCTCATGGAGCAGGTGGAGGACCAAAACTGCTCACATCATTGCCGGGAAGTTCATTGTGTGTCTGCGCACACAAACATACACACACACACACATACACACACACAACATAAAACTTACCATCCCCCCCCACCACCACCACCACAACAATAAAACTAAAAACAAAAACCCAGGAGAAGGAGAGGCCTGGGGCCCCATCCCCCCTTAAGGGGCATGCCACATCAACACAGGCCATGGTGTTAACAGCAGAGAAGACACTGGTTATAAGTAGAGAATGGTTTCTGGTCTTCCTTACTTTCTAGAGCTCTAGAACACTTAGAAAAAAAAATGAGCAGAAGATTTAATTTGTATATCTACATGCAAAGTACCAAGATGCCATTTGAAGGGCCAATGGCAGCCTAGCCATGGAGAGAAAAATACCTTTAGAAGAAGTTTCTTGTGAACCAATCAGATCCTCTTGACACTGAATATTCTCTCTTGGTCTCAAATTCTTGGCAACACAATGTTGGAACATTTGGGAATGTAGTGTGTATGTACAATCCTGTCATGTTGAATGTGCTCTGTGTACGTCAGATCATGTGAACGCAATAATTTCCAACACTTCTTGTTTTCATGTTTGAACACTCATAAATTACTCATGTTCAAGAATTGTACTTTGAACTGCGTGTTGTATACGAAGTAGATCAGCTGCCAAAAAGTCCACAACAATCCAGAGGATTAACAGCTTCTATTTATTCAATGTTGTAGCGGGATGACATGCAATTTTGGAGAACCTTCTAACGTGAAGAAGGACTCACTGGCGAGGAAATAATTGAGGAGGATCTACCAGAAGGGTCTGCATATTTGGGGAAACCAAAATTCTTCCTGAGCTTTGCTTCCATCATCGTCAGTAATACACTGACTTGAGATGGCCTCTTGGAGTCCATTCATCTTCCCCTGTAGCTCAGAATGCTGCTGTTCTCTCTTGGAGACGCTGATGTGTCAGGCCTCCCGTCGGACCCTTCATGCCTTGTTGTAAGAGCAAAATAAAGGAAAATGCTGTTGGTTGGAAACGTGCCTGAATGCTGGTTTCCCTGCATGTCCTCAGGTTCTGCAGTGAGGCTGCTGCTCTTTTCTGCCTCCCTGCAAATTCAGGAATTCCTCTGTGTTTCATCAGGTGAGCTGCTTTTGTTCCTCGAGGCACTTCTTATGCTCCGTAACTTTAGTGAGATGTAATCACACACCATGCAACCCACCAATTCTGTGTAGAATTGAGGAATGTTTTGTACATTCACAGATTCACCAGTCATCACCACAGTCCAGTTTGGCACACTTATGTGACCTCAAAAATAAACCCCACACCCATTACCCACCCAGGCCACCAGTGCTGCCTGTTTTCTATCTATGGGTTTCCAATCCTGACATGTGCTAGGAATGGAGTTTATAACGTGTGACATTGTGTCACCCACTTCTTCCAGTTAGCATGGTGTTTTCAGGGCTCACCCATGCAGATGTGCTACTTCTTCACTTTTATGCCTGAGTCATGTCTCACTGGATGAATGCCACACATATTTTGTGGATCCCTTCGTCAGCTGATGGACACTGGAGTTTCTGCATCTTTGTAACATTGCCATCAACAGCTACAGAAGCTCTCGTGGGACTTTGGGCCCTCTGGGTATATGCCTAGGGTGAAGATGTAGGGTCTGCTGGGACCTCCACATATGCTCCTGGAGGAATAGCAAGGCAGTTTCCCAAAGTGGCTGTGCCACTGCTCCGTTCCGCCCACAGGGGAAGAGCTATCAGCACTTGTTATCTCACTTTTGAATCCAGAAACTGACACTAGTGACATGTCCAGTTACATCCTGTTCAGACTCAGATTTCTCACCTCGCCAATGGGAATGTGCAGGGTTTAGCCACCAAGGGCATATTGCACTAGGCACTACATGGTGATGCTCCATGGTGATGGGTGTGCAGAGCTATCTCACTCATGAGCTGCTGCGGAATGGAGGCCAAACATGAGGTCAACCTGGTCCCTGAGATGCTGGGTTCCTTCCTCCTCCTGTCTCTCAAACCAGGCACATACATTAAGGGGGAGGCAGTATAGGAGGAGAGGGAAAATGGGGCTGCACAGGAAGCCAATAGGGATAGGCATCATCAGAGGCCGCTGGATGGCCAGGAGGAGCAGGAGCTGCTGCCAGGCGGGCTGCGGAACATGTCCCAGCAGACTGCTCGGTGAGGCTGGCAACAAAGCCTGGACTTGCCACCAAGATCCTCCTCAGTGCGTCCTGGCTTTGCTGCACAGCTCGGCAAGCCCTGTCCTGCCTTGGGGCTTGGGCCAGTCCACTGGGCCAGGAGCTGGCTGGACCGCGTGGGGGCAAGGAAGCAGAGCCCTTAAGACAGAAGAGAGGTGGGCTGGGGTCAAGGCAGAGGGAGGCTGGTGGTGGGGTGCAGTGCGCAGATGTGACTAGTTGACAGGCCGAAAAGTGAGGAGGGGAGAGGAGGCGGGTCTCAAAACAAAGTGGTACACCAGCTTCACATCCTCTTGGACTAGTGTCTCCACCTGGAAGGATTTCAGCACCTAGGAGAGAGGCGGGACTTCCCTGTGGCCTGGGCAGCAGGCTCAGGTCCTGGCCAGCCTCCTGACCAGCTGCTCAGAGCAGCCACCACGCTGCAGAGAGCAGGAGCCAGCGCACCCAGGCTGGCGGGGTAGTGGGCACAGGACCCGCCCTCAGGGAAGGCACCGCCCCATCACGCACACGCCCAAGTGGTGAGGGTTGGGGGCTGCTCACCCCACACCACGACCCGCTGGCCCCTCCTGGTCCCGCTCACCCCCACGCACCACTGACGCCCTTCTGCTGAGCCCCTCCCAGGCCCACTCACGTGGTGCAGCAGAAGCAGCATCTCCACCTCTGCCAAGCGCCGGCCCAGACACTGGCGCACCCCGAAGCCAAAGGCCAGATGGCGGAAGTGCAGTTGGCTGTCCAGCCAGCGTTGGGGGATGTAGCGCTCAGGATTCGGGAACAGCGCGGGGTTTCGGCCCATTGGGTACAGATGCATGTGGACCAAGGTCTGCAGACACATGCGCAGGGAGGTGTCAGCTGCCTAGTGAGGGGATGTGGGAAGGGGCCATCTGCTGGGGTGGCCTTCGGGGCTCACTCACCCCAGCTGGGATGTGGTAGTTCTGAAGCACCAGATCTGAGCTTGTGATTCGCTCCAAAATGCTTCCTACTGGGTAGAGCCTGGGGGTAGGACACCAACAGGCAGGGCCTCAGGGGGACAGCTCCCTCCTCTTCCCTCTGTCTGCTGCCCACCCAGGACCCCCGAGGGTGCGGCAGCCCTGGTCACAGGATGTGCTTGCTGGCACCTGCTAGGCTCAGTGAGTCCCCAGCAGCCTGAGCAGCCAGGCCCAGGAGGACATGGCCGGTCATGCATGGGACTTGGGAGTGCAGTCCCAGAGGAGAGGAGCACCCCTGGCTTCAGGCAGAGCAGGAGGAGCTGAGGGGCTCTGGGTTCTGAGGCAAAGCTGCTCATGCCTGCCTCCCACCTCCAGTGAGCAGAGGGACCAGGGCAGGTGGGGAGGGTCAGCCGGCACCTACCGCAAGGTCTCCTTGAGGGCAGCCCGCAGCAGGGGCAGCTCTGAGGGGGCCCTCTGGGGGTTTGCAGAGATGCTGGCCTCTGCTGCCAGGCTCTCCTGGCGTAGGGCCTCCTGCACATTGGGGTTCCGAGCCAGCTCAAAGAGCGTCATCACCAAGGGGAAGGCTGTCTGCAGGAGCCATGGGGGCAAGGCTCAGACCACGGCACTGGCCATGCGCCCCAGCCCCAGGGCACCCCTCCACGAGAACACCCTCCCCTGGAGCGGAAGGGCATGCCCCGAGCAGCACAGAGCCCTGGCACCCCACAACTCAAGACACCCATGTCCCCTTGACTCCTGCCCTGAGTCCTGAGGGAACGACCTCTCGGGGCCCAACCCAGGCCACCTCCTGCTGTCTCCTCAGGGTCTGATTGGCTCTCACACCCTGCTCCGTGGCCCTGAGGGGTGACCGTTCCAGGAGTCACAGGTGCTCTGCAGCCCTTGTCCATCTGCTTGCAATGGCTGTCTGCCCGGCTGTGTTCAGACCCCTCTGACAAGCCTCACTGTCCCACCCTGAGCAGGCCTTCAGACCCCAGCCAGGTCCTCCTCCTGGATCATTCCTGGTACTCCAAACATATCTGCAGCCCCAGTTTGAGATCTGAGGCTCCATATCTCCAAAATGGCTCCTTCCAAGGTACCTCTACAGTGTCCTGAGCCTCAGAAATGAATGAAGACATTTCTAGGGAGTCAGATGAATGTCACACACAATGTTGGGGTGAACTTAGGACTGACCGTGTCTACACTCCCTGCTGTGAGGTCAATAACGTTGGCCTTGATGGCATCTAGTGAGAAGTCCCCTTGCAAGATCAGGTTCAATGTGATACTGCCGACAGCCTCAGGGCAACCACGGACAAACTCCTGATGCACCTTCTGGATGCAGGTGTTGGCTGTGGGGAGACGAGAGGCCTCAGGCCTTAGTGCTGGAAAGGTCAGCTTCACTGTCAATCCACCCACCAACCCAGCGCCGCCCCTCCCTGCTCCTCAGTGTTGTCTTAAGCCTGGCCACACCACCAACTCTGCAAGGACCACGAGGAAGGCGTGGCCCTTTTGTGTGGACTCCGTGTGGCTCTGGGTGGTGGTCAAAGGAAACCTGGATGACTGTCCTGCCCCGACCCACGGCCCTGCCTGGTCCAGCCCTTACCATACTCAGAGATGTAGTCCCAGGCCTGAAAGTGTTCCTGCCACACCTGGGAGTTCATCCAGCGGGACAGGCTCCTGGGCAGGAACATGAGCTGAGCAGTGGACTGGAACATGGCCTCCAGTGCATGAATGAACTTCAGGCTGCCAGCGTTCTGGTGTGGGCCAAAGAGGCCCAGCCGCTCTCCAAAGAGAGCGAAGTTGCTGGCTGCAGAGAGGATGGCAGCCCTGAACAAGGGCAGGCCTGGGCCTCAGCTGCATCCTGCAGCACTCCACCCCACCCTGGCCACCTCAGAACCCTCGAGGCCAGGGGCTCCCCCAGCCCCACACCTTCGATGGTGTAGTGGAAGATGCTGGTCTGGGCCTCCAGGGTCAGGCTCCCCCGGGAATTCTGCAGCACCTTCTTCTTCAGGGCCTCGGAGAAGTCTCTTGCCACCACGTCCACCATGGGGATGAACTTCTGCGCGGCCTTTCCTGACAACACGACTGGATTCAGCCGCAGCCGGTTGAATCTCCATTCAGCTCCATTCCTGTAGGGCAGGCAAGGGCTTGAGAGGCATCCCCAAACATCCCACAGGTCCCCAACCTGTCTGCCATCTTCCTGGAACCCAAAGGGACTCAGTGGTTCCAAGGATGAAGGTGGGCCGAGGGCTAGGCAGCTGCATGTCCTGGCCTCACCTTATTCTCTCAGAGTGACCTTCCTGTGCTGGGCGATGGCCATGGAAGTCTGAAATGGGGATGAGGGCAGGTAGCCCTGGAGTGCTGGGAGGCCTGTGGGCTAATTCCTGGGAGCTGCCAGGCACACCCTGCGTCCATGTGGGCCCTGCCTGGGTGGCCAGGCTTTCTGCCAGGGTGGGGGGTGACCTGAGGTCAAGTTTGCCTGCCTGGCCCACACCATGCCTCAGATGGGAGAGGCCAGGCTGACTCCTCTCCTCCATGTCCTTCCCCATGGAGCTTGGAGAGTGGCACCTGCTTGCTCCCTGAAGTGTCCTTGTCTTCTGTAGTGCAGAGTCCAAACTGAATCTCCCACCACAGCCACCCACCACATCCCAAGCACATGGGGCCCCAGAGCTTCTGGTGCCAGTGGTGGGCAGGGCTTTGCAGCCTGAGCCACAATCAGGCACACACACCTTTCTCTTCCTAGGGCAGTGCCTCCCATTCCTGATGATGAGAAACATGGGTGCATGTCACGGCAACATGTGTGTCCACACAGACCTCAAACACATGTGTGAAGACACTCATGTCCAAGAGTATGCACAGTGCTGCATATAACCCTAATGGCGCGTGCATGCACACACACACACACACACACACACACAAGTCCACCACTTCCTTCAGGGGCACTGGCTCTCCTTTCCCCCTGACCTGCCCTTCACATCTGGCCTCTGCATCAGATGCCCTCCATGGAGGGCCCGGCCCAGGACATTCACGTGCATATGCCCTGCCCTTCCCCAGAAAATCCACTTCCTGACACGGAGTGTGGGACTCTTCAGCCTGTGGTTCTTCTCAGCACTTCCTGCTCTTTATGGCAACCTCTTTGCAGCTGACCCACCCTAAGCACCATCTTCTCCCCGCTTCCCTGTGCACAGGAAGGAACTACCCTCTTGCTGTTGAGCTGGAAGCTCAGGGCCTTGCTGTTGAGCTAGAAGCTGCCTTGGACCTCCACCATCCACATCCCCAACCTCCTCCCCATCACTGTCTCCCCCAAAGTGAAGGCTGACTTGACCCAGGATGCAAGGGCCCTTGGGTGGTGGGACAGCCCTGGTGGACTTCAGATTCTGGCCCATGCTGCCCACGGCTTTGGTCCTGGGATTTCACATCTCTGGGCTGGTTTTCTGACCCACAGGAAGGAGAGCCACCCAGCAGCAGGAGGGGACCAAGGCCTAGGGCCGAGAGTGCTCCCTTCAGAGAGGGGCTCGGTGTTCCTTGTCTAGCCTGTGCAGACCCCATGTGCCTTTCTCCCCCGCTGCCTGCTCCCCTGCCCAGGACATCCGTCACAGGAACCCATCCATGCTCACTACTGACACTGTCCACCCACCCGCGGCGCCAGGACATGTGTCCTGTGGTCTGCTGGTCTGGCCTCCTCTCCAGGCTGCCCAGTGTGAATTCCACTTCCCAACCCAACCCATTGGTGCCTCACAGCAAGAATACGCCCAGGGGCTTCTGTCCACGGTGCTCTCTGTAGACCGTCCAGGGCTCCGGTGGCCTCCGCCAGGGCTGCAGGCTCTCCATCTGATGCAGCTTCTCAGCATCTTCAGGCAGCATCACAGATACTATCTGTGTTCTTCCCACGTCATACCTTGGAACAGTGCACAAAGCCCTGCTGGATCCCACGTCCTCTCCTGGTGCCCTCTGGAGACCAGTCAGACCTCACCCTTCTCCTGGACTTGAGCCTGCCCCACAGGAAGTCCCCGAGCCTTCTGCCTGAGCCCTCTTCCCCTCTCAGCTTCCTCTGAGGCAAGCTTTCCTTGTGCACAGGAGGAGTCCTTGTCTCCTTTGGCAAAGTCTCGGGACGGTAACCCACATGCCCCCTCCTGCCTTGTGGAGGGCGGAGACCACCCTGTTCCTAGGGAGCAGGAGCACCGTGTGCCTGGCGAGTGCCTGGGCAGCCAGCAGAGAAGGAGGTACTGGCATCCTCAGCGAGGGGCTTGGCAGGGCTTTACCTGAAAATGGGTCCCAGCTCCTGGAAAGCCCGGTGCATCTGCAGGTGCATGTTCTCCTGGCCCCGCTCCTTCCAGATCTGTAGCACCCTCAGCCACTTGTTGCCTGCACACTGGGGTATGGCTTCAAAGGGCAGCACTGCCTTGGCACCCAGAGCTGCACTGGTGCCCAGGGCTCTCACCTTGCACAGGCACAGCCAGGACCCTGCCAGCCACACACCTGCCTTTGACCTGAAAGCCATTGTGATGCTCCCTCCACCCCCGTTCAGCCCAGTCCTTTTTATCTCACCCAGGGGCCCTCTGTGGCCAAGGATCACGTCATGGAACAAATTGTCCCTGGACCTGCCTGAGAGATCTGGGGCACTCATAGCCAGGTTCCCAACCAGAGTTGGAGGAAGGAGATGGCCTGGTGCCTGTTCCCCATCTCTGCAAGGCTTATTGCAGGTGGAAGTTGACCCTGGAGCAGGGTCACATGGGGGGCTGGAGCTGTGCACCGTGTTGAGCACTCTGGACCCTCCTCTGCACGGGTGAGGGATACAGAGGGATAGGACGCTTATCTTATCGAGAGCCTTGATTATTCATCAGTCCTGGAAGACATGTTGCTAGAGGGTTGTTTGTACAGTCATCACATTAACTTTGCCAGTGGGTTGTTTGTGCAGTCATCACATTAACCCTCATGTATTAATCTTTTAATGTCTTTTTTATATTGACAGATGAAAGTTCTGTATATGTATGTTATACAACATGATGCATATGCACACACTGTGTCATGGCTAGCCTGTGCTGAAGAACCTTTGCTTTATTCACATACCAGTTTTTGTGTGAGAAAATAAGACCTCTTAGCTCTTTTCTCACCTAGGACATCTGGGTGAAAGAAGACCCTGGAGAAACTAAAAACACCTGGATTGATCGATCCCCGGCAGCCAAAAAAAGGAGAGAAAACACCTTGAGACAAGACAGTAATCACACACATAACCAGAACTCAGCAGAAGCACCCAGACCACAGCTCAGAGGGGCATCTGCAGCTCTCAGTGCCCATACAGCAAAGGAAAGGAGCTCAGCTCCAGAGTCTGATTCTGGCCTTAAGGAAAGAGGACAGGACGGGCCTAACGGGAGGGTTGGGGCAGGGGAGCCCAGCACAGGGACACCGAGAGCAGGAGCAGCTTTGTGCTGTCAGCTCCTTGGCCAACCAAAGGCTGCTGGGCTTTTGATTAACCCTAAGCTGGGGATTTCAGGGAGGCAGACGTGGACAGAGGATGAGGCCAATGGCCAGAACAAGAATGGAAGTGGACATGCTGGCGCCCCCTGCAGGAACGGCAGAACGCAGCTGTGCAGTTGGGAGCAACAGCACACCAAGCACCCAGACGCTGCAGGGGACATCCACAAAGTCCCAGACACACACACACACACACAAGGTACAAGAAGAAACAGGATCAATGACAAGTGCAGAGGGAGTCCGCCACTGGTTGTGTGGCCAGGTCCATCCATGTGCTGTCTGGCTCAGGGCCACATGGCCGCTGCCTGGGGAAAGTGCCCTCATTTATGCAGTTTAAGAAACCCTTCCCAAAAAGAGAAGCAGAAGGAACACTGCCTAAGTCTTCCCGGTGACTCCGAAGCACCTGCTGCCACACTCAGAGAGAGTCACAGCAAGAGGAAATCCCAGCACAACATCCTTCTTGTGGGTTGCAACGCTCCTCACCAATGCCACAGGGAACAAAGCCAAATGCTGGCAATATTAAAATGTCAGTGCCTCATGGAATGTTACTCAGCCTTAAATGAAACTATGGCTTTTCTTGGTAAATGGATGGAGTTGGAGAACATCATGCTAAGTGAAATAAGCCAATCCCCAAAAAACCAAAGGCCAGGGGTTTTCTCTAATATGTGGATGCTAATTTACAATAGGGGGTGGGCACTAGGGAGGAATAGCGTTAGATTAGGTAGAGAGGAGTGAAGGGAGGGTAGGGGTGAGGATAAGGGAACAGGAAGGGTAGTACAACGAAACAGACATTATTACTTCATGCATATATAACTGCATGACTAATATGATTCTACAACATGTACACTCAGAAAAATGAGAAGTTAGACCCCATCTATGTATGATATATCAAAGTGCATAAATTCATTCTGCTGTCATGTATAACTAGTTAAAACAAATTAAAATAGTTCTTTTAAAAAGTCAGTGCCATGTGATCGGGTGTTGTTAGTGCCAAGCGTCAGCACAGTTTGATATGGAAACCAGCCACTGGAATGGCAACACTGTGTAGTCAAGGGCAGGAAGCCATAGGTCGTCCCCAGCTCCTAGAATGAGCACGGACACCACTTCTTTTGTCGTTTCATATTGTTTTAGTTGTAGGTAGATAGAATACCTTTATTTATTTATTTATTTATTTATTTATTTTTATGTAGTGCTGAGGCTTGACCCAGTGCCTCACCCCGCTAGGGGGGCGCTCTACTGCCCCACCCCAGCTCTGGGGCACCACCTCTTGAGAGTTGCTTGGGAAGGTGGTATGAAGAGAGTGCCCTCAGTGGTGGAGGCTGCAGGGTGCCCTCAGCTCAGGAAGAGGCAGAGGAGGCCTGTGTCCCCACTACTGGCCCACGCTGGACTGGAAGTTCTGGCCAGAGCAGTTGCCAAGGAAGAAGTGAGATCCTCTGTGTTCACAGACATCAGGGTCTTGCTCCCACGGACCCCACACCCTGCACAGAAATCCCACCGGGCCAATGCGTTAACCTATCTGCATTGTCAGGCAGGACACCCAACAAGCAGCTGTGTGGCCACATGCAGCAGCGAACCACCCGAATTGGGAGAGGGACACAGTGCTACCAAAGGGAGAGCCCCCCCAAGAAGTGGTCCCCAAGGAGGTGAGAGGCTTGTACGCCAAGAACCACGAAACACTACTGCAGATCCCAGTAAATAGATGGACAGGCAGACGCGCGTCTTGGTCCCTTTGTGCTGCCATGACCAATTACCCCACGTCCGAACGAGGAAGATCAGACACCTATTCCTCAGGGTCCTGGAGGCCATGGAACCCAGGATCACGTCGCTGCTGGTCAGCCCATTCTCTGCTTCCAAGGACCCCATCATTTCTGCAGCCTGCAGACAAGATGGACAGACTCTTTGGTGCCAGAAGGACTGGCAGGGAGGCACGGCTGGAGGGTCTGATGCTGAGTGATCCCTCTTCCACAAGGTCTCAGCCCCTTTTTAGGCCTCCACCCTCAGACTCAGTGCCTTGCCCAGAAGCCCCACCTCTTTGAAGCAATCCGAGGGGAAGAAGTTTCAGCACCTGAGTCTTGAGAGGCTCCAGACCTGCCACATCCCCTGCCGGGCATCCTGAGACCTGCATCAGTGCTCACAGCATTCCAGACACTCAGCACTGTGCCTGTCTCCACGTCAGGCTCCCTTTTCATCAAGGGCAATGCCGATCTTCAAATTGTATTTATTTCAGTTTATGTTTTGGAGAATTGCATGGTCTGGGATCAAACCCTGGATCTCACACCCCTGGGCACAAGCCTCACTACTGAGCTACCTCCCCAGCCCCAGAGGGGCCAATTTTTTGCTAAATTTCAAACTCACTCCTTCCACTTCCAGTATAGAAGTGTCTTACATCTGGGACAACATTTCTATTTTGGTTTGTGTTATTAGTTATTAAAAGGTATGAATTGTCCCAGCAGCTCAAGAGGCTGAGGCAGGAGGATCACGAGTTCAAAGCCAGCCTCAGCAAAAGAGAGGCACTAAGCAACTCAGTGAGACCCTTTCTCTAAATAAAATACAAAATAGGGCTGGGGATGTGGCTCAGTGGTCAAGTACCTCTGAGTTCAATCCCCAGTAGCCCCCACCCCCCCAAAAAAGGGTATGAATCGTACCTCAAATAGTGTTTGGCGTGATACACAACACATGTGTCGCGTTCTCCAATCTAAGCCAACTCTTCAGTGTCTGTGCCCTCCCACCCACCCTCCCAATTTGCAGGACCACTACTGGGCATTCAGGCCAGCCTTCCTCGCTCTATGTATGAGAGAACATATGTACTTCTTTTCCTTGTCTGGTTCATCTCCTTTAAGACAACGTCCTGCACTTCCGTCCTTCCTGCTGAAGATGATTCACATATAAACCACCTTTTCTTTATGCAGGTGTGCATTGGTGGAAACTCAGGTTGATTCCACATCTTGGGTTGTGAGTTGTGCCACAATAGACTTGGGCATGCAGGTGTCTCTGGTGTGCCGATCTCATTCCTCAGAAGTGGGATGGCAGGGAACAGCCATGTTCCAAACACCCAGACGCTTTCCTTCATTTGATGTCTGTCTTTGGGATCATTTCCATCGATGTGAGCAGTCCTGTGTGTGTGTCTGGAGTGTCTGCATGCATACACACACACACACACACACAACTATTTCAGTTAAATGTAAGTTAAAATGTAAATGTAAGTTAAAATTTCATATATAGAGGAGAGTTTCACTGCACATCTATAACTAAGTGTCTATATCCATGTGAAATTCTCATTTCCATGGAGAGTGGGGTCAAGGAGCGTGGCGTGTGATGTGTCTGCAAAGACCAGTTTTCATTTTTAGTCACCACCTGCATCACCACAGGAAGACTTGGGCTGTGAATGTCACCACCGACCTGGAAAGGGCCTTTCGGCCAAACCGCTGTGGGAAAGGATCTGTCTATCACATAACTCAGCCCCATGTTGATGGAGATGGAGGAGGGTGTGGGCAGCCAGGGCAAGACAGTGCGTGAGGAGGCTGGGGCAGGGCCAGAACAAAGGAGCATGGAGAGGGTCTTCTGAGGAGTGGACGGGGGGGGGATAAGGAAAGGAGGAAATCTCAGAGACCATAAAAGAACAGGCCCAAACTCTCCCAGCAGACTCCCAGCCCTGGGCCCTTCTCTTCTTACAAGTCCATCTCTGTGTCTCTGTCACTTTGCAGTAGGCTGCTGCTTGCTTGCCATTTCTGGGTCCTCTTCTTCAGATCTCTGTTGAACGGAGACAGTGAACCCAGCGCCCTAGGTGGGAGCAACATGACTTCAGAGCCAAACTTGGCCGGAACGATGCAGGCTGAGTCCAAGGTTCGTCCTTGGGGTGCTGGTGCAATCAGCCCTGGCTGGCTGGACATCCTGCGCAGGGCCTGCCTGCCCACCCTTCCCTGTCGTTCCCCTCCCTCGGTGGTTCCTGGGTGGCTCCGGGGCTTCTGGGCTGTGGCTGTGTGCATGTTTGGACACACCTTCTTGGCCCACCACGAGGAGCCCGGG